TCTCAAGCAAAATCAGGAAAACAATAGTTTTATTATGTAAATGTATGACACACCTCTACAATATTTTATTATTTCTTTGACTTTATGCCCGAGGACCTCTTCTTTATATATGCATTTCTTTTTGATATCCTAGACTGGCCTCAAACTCGGTATGTAGCCAGTGATGACCTTGGATTCCCGCCTCTATCTCCCAAGTGATGGAATTACTGGCATGTGTCACCATGCTCTGCTTATGTGGGACTGGGGACTGAAGCCAGGGCTCTGAGCATGTTGAGGATGGACTCTTCTTGCTGAAACTACATCTTAAGCCTCTTCATATTAATTTTATTTTTTTAATTTCCATAAATAGATATTGGAGAAATGGTTCAATAGTTAGCATTTTATTGCTCTTGCCAAAGCCCCAGGTTTGATTCTCAGCACCTACATGGCAGCTCCCGGCCACCTATAACTCCAGCTGTAGTAGCTCCAGACTCTTTTCTGGCTTCCTCCAGTGCTAGGCACTCACATGATGGCAGACATACATTCGGGCAAAATACTCATACACATAAAAAAAAATGAAATTAAAAATAAAAAAGTCTCATTTACACTGGGTTTTACCAATCAGATGCTAATCATTTCCCTCAATAGAAGCGTTTTCAATATTTTTCTCCAGCCCGATGTGTATGTAATCTCAGTACTTAATATCCTTATGTAAGAGAATAAACACAGATTCTTATTTCTGATCCTGTACAAAAACCAACCCTAACTGAATCAAAGCCTTATTGAAAGACCTGAAACTCTGATACTCTTAGAGGGAAAAGTAGGAAAAATCCTTCATAGGCAAGGAATTACGAAGAAATAAATGCCAACAATTTACAAATGGTTTCTAAAGAAATTAAAATGTGTCTTTACAGCAAATGAAGTGAGTAAAAAGACTACAAAATGGGAGAAAATCTTCATTCACTACATCACTGACAATACCCACAATCAATAAATAGGCTAGTTAAATCAACAGACGGTTCTTAAAACTTTAAGTAGAAATGTCCAATAAACAAATGAAAACTCAACCTTGTTAGACATCAGAAAAATTCACATTAAAACTAGATTGAGATTCCATTTTCCTCCAGTCAGAATGACATTAAGAAAAAAACGCTGTGAGGGTGCTGAAAACACAGAGCTCTTAATCATTGCTGGAAATGAGAACTAGTCCACCACTGTGGAAATCATATGGAGTTTCTTCAGTGATGTGGGAGTGTCATATCAATCTGTTGATTTCATTGGCTGAGCAATAAAGAAACTGCTGGCCCTGATAGGTTAAAAGATAGGTGGGAGGAATAAACAGAATAGGATGCTGGGCGGAAGAGGAAGTGAGGTCAGACTCTGTTCTGCTCCCAGAGAGACTCGACATCTCTGCACTCTGGAGCAGAGACACCATGATGGACGGAGGCTAGACTCTTCCCGGTAAGCGCACCTTGGGGTGCTTACACACACATCATTAGAAATGGGCTAGTCCAGGTGCGAGAATTAGCCTGTAAGGGCTAGAGTTCAGGGGCCAAGCAGTTCTTAAATGAATACAGCTTGTGTGTTGTTATTTCGGGCATGAGCTAGCCAAGCGGCCGGGGTGTTGGGGACGCAGCCCCGCCGCCGCTCCTTATTTCAACACTTCAGAAAGTTATACACAGATGTGCCGTGTGACCCAGTTATACTACTGCTGAGTATTATACAATGACAGGTCAGTATAACAGAGATAATTGCAGATCGATGTTTATTACATCACTAGTCACAATAGCTAAGTTCTGGAACCAACCTGGGCCTCTATTCAACAGAGAACTATGTTTAAAAAAACTGTGTGTGTGTGTATACATATATATACAGTATATAGGTATATAAAGAATAAAGTTATCATTTACAGGAAAATAGGTATAATTGGTGATAATTAACTAAAAAATTTAGTTTCAGAAAGACAAATATTGCATGTTTTCATTTGGAGTTCCTAGACTTCATATAGACACTTAAAATCATGTACATGCTTATGACACAGAAGTAGAAGCAAACTTCTGGAGCAGTGGTTCTCAACATGTGGGTAGCAACCCCTTTAGGAGTTGAATGACCCTTTCACAGGGTTGCCTAAGACCATCCAAAAACACAGATATTTTCATTATGATTCATAACTGTAGCAAAATTCTAGTTAGGAAGTAGCAAATGAAAATAACTTTATGATCACCACAACATGAGGAAAAATATTTATGGATCACTACAGCATTAGGAAGGCTGAAAAACACTGGTCTAGAAGAACAATACTAAACACAGATACAGGGTGGGGGAAAAAGGGACTTGTGGAGGTATATACTCACAGGAAGCAGAGAGAGCTAACTCAAAGGGCAGGAGTCTTTTGATTCTCAAAGCCCAGCCCCAGTGACATATTCTCTCCTGGAAGGCCAAACCTCCTAATCCTCCACCAACAGCCACCAAGTATTCAAAGGCAGGAGCTTATGAAGGTCACCTCATTCAAACCACCACCTTCAGTTTAAGGGAAATTCTGCCTAGAGTTGATGAATAAGCAATCCTATACATTTTTAAAAAATAAAAGTTCTTTTTTTAACTTTACAGTGGAATTGATCTGTGTCATGTTAAGTAGAAACCCAATCATATTTTATTCCTTCACTTAGCTACCTAAATGTCACCTATTTGTCAAGTAGCTACTGCTTTCTCTAGTGACTTAGAATGCCGCTTTTTGTCATGTGTTGAACATCTATACATACGTGTTTGTTTCTCCATGCTCAGTTCAGTTTCACAGATCTCCTTGTCTTTAGTGCTGTCTCTATTACACTGCTGAAACTCCTTCGCATTTTAAGCCAGTCTTTATTTTAGGCAAAGACAGTTTTACGTTACTTTCATTTGCTTAAACATTTACTTACGTATTCATGACTATCATTACTCTGTAACAATTTAAAATAGACCAATTAGGTTCCATTGGATACACACCATTGGGGTTTCTATTTATTCTGGAGTCGTTTTTTTTTTAAGAGTATGGAATTCTTTGTGAATTTTCATGTCATCCCGTGCAGTGTCATAATAATCTGTGTATATGTCTAATTATAGGCTATGGTGCTGAAGCAAGCACTCTGCATTAAATTTTTGTATTAATTTAGGAAAAAACAACACCCTAATACAGTTGAATTATCAAATACATGATATGGTATATTATCTTTATTATTATTTATTTATATTTGTTATTAGGTATGGATATCTTTCAATAGGTATGTACTTTTATGGTTTAAAATTCTATTATTATTTGACAATTTCATACACTTACATTGAGTTTTGATCATCTTCATCTCTCATCACCCTCCCCTTTCCTCACTGAAATCCTTCTTCCCATGTCTCCTCTACTTTGATGTCTTTGTGTGTGTGTGACCCATTGAGTTTAATTACGGTTGCTTGTGTGATCATGAGTGGGGTTGTTTTGTTTTATGAGAATGGATGTCACACTGTAATCCAGACTCACAGTGTAGACCAAACTAGCCTTGAACATGAAGCTGTAATTTAAAGTGAGTCTCCTTCCTCAGCTTCCCATGTGCTGGGATTATAGACATAAGCCCACTTATCTGGCTCTCAACTATTGATCCTCCATCAATAAAGCCTTATGTTTCCATTTAGGTCTCTTTTATGCTTTCTTGCTACTGTAATGGTTGCCTTTTTAAGGTGATGTTTTCTTATTTGGGTTGGTGATGAAAAATGTAATTATCAACATCAAATTTTTTCAATTTAACATCTTAAACCTAAATTTTTAATTGTAATTTGAAGATTATCTTGGATTTTCTGTAAAAGTCATTCAGAATTTTCATTAAAAATGTGTTGTATTTATAATTAATATTTTAATCAGAAAATACAACTAGTTGTAAATTAAAAAAAAAAAAACACATTCCCCTCATCCTTAGTTCCCTTTTTCATCCAGTTTCTAAACATTTGCATAATTTTCTGATACATTTCCTTAGGACTTCTTTGCAATGACACAAGAAAATAGAATTTTCTTTTTACCTTTTTCTACTCACAGAGATGTCAGCCTATACAAAGACTCATTATTTTGTTATCTTCCTTTAGTAGTCCTTGGAAAAATCACGTTTTGAAAGTCTGTTGGTGCTAGAGCCATCTTTCCTAGATAAATGTAGCTACCACCCCTCATCAAAGAAGCCTCTCTTTACAACCAATAGAGAAGACCATCACAGAAACCCGCAACTGGATACAATGTAGAGATCAACAGATACATTTACATTTGCATCCATGGCTCAGAGAACTTGGAGGAACAGGAGGAAAAAGATTATTAAGAGCCAGAATACCAAGAAGCCAGCCGTGAAACAGTTCCACCTAGAAATGGCTGCATACACAAGACTGGAACATGTTAACTTGGGGGGTGGCAAAATTTCACCGGGTGCCACCCCTAACCAGAGAACCACAGACAACTATTGACTGGTGAGGAATGGAGAATTAGTCTGTTCCAGGGATGAGCCCTCTTACTGGTTGTCAATGCAAAGTGGTCAGCCTTGAAATCATATATACACAACAACAACAACAAACCCGGCTTAGCAGGTTGAGTGCGTGTGTGTGTGTGTGTGTGTGTGTGTGCGCATGTGTGTGTGTGCGCGCGCGTGCGTGTGTAAATTAAATAAATAAATATAATTTGTGCATGCACATACATATGTACATATACGAATTTAACAGTAATAAAAAGAGGCAATCAACTTAAGAGTGGAAGGGTATGGAAGGGTTTCTTGGAAAGACCTGGAGGGAGGAAAGGGAGGAGAGAAAGTGATGTAATTCTACTTCAGTTAAAAATATATACTTTTTTTAAAAAATCTTTTTCACGAAGAGGAGGGAGAAAAAAGGGGGGAGGCGAACCATAGAGTGTCGCTGTTGCCTAGAGAGGCCGGAAGTGCCCTGTGCCCCGCCCCCCCGGGGTCGGACTTTCGGACACTTTTGTGACTGCGGGGTGCTGCGCGGTGCTGCGATCGCGGGTGGGTTTGGGTCACGTCTTGCTACAGTCCTCCAGCGGGCCGGGCTGCTTGTGGGTCGGTGAGGGTGGGACAAGAACGCCTTCCCCTGCGGCCTGGCGGCGCCGGAAAAAACCCTCGATGGCCATTTGGGCCGAGTGCCCGACAGGGCCTCGGGCGCCTCGCCTCGGGCCGGTTCCGGGTGTCTGGTCAGTCTCAGGGCGTTTGGAGATGGGATTCTTGGGTCTTGTACTTAAGCTTTGAAAATGGGAGACGGCACAGTTTTGCTTTTCCTGGAGACAAGGTCAGTTCCAAGGTCTTTATTCTGGGGTACTGGAAAAGAGCCAGAACTTTGGAGTCGGGTTGCCTGGTGGATTTTGGCCTGTGCTGTTTTGTGATTTTCTCCCAGTCCCTTAACTTTTCTATGTTTTGCTATTTTAGGGGATAATGATATCGCCTAACTTACTGGATTGCTGTGAGGAGTAAAAGGCTTCGTTTGTGCAAGGTGCTTAAAATAGTACCAGGCACGGGGTAATCTGCAGTGTAAAGATTGCTTTTATTATTGCTGTCGCTCTTTCTAACTAGGACAGCACCTTCGCCTCGGTGACTAGCCTTGGTACTGGCTGTGGCCTTTTGAATTTTAGTGCTATTTACCAGTTCTTTTTGCAATGGGTAATTTCTGTAATGGGTATTTTAGGAAGGAAAATAAAACATTCTGGAGAAGAGCCTATCCCAAAGGAAAGATGAGAAGTGGTTTGTGTAGTGTGTTGTGATGCTCAGACTCACAGTTTTACAGTCTTGGGGATGCCATTTTTTTAGGGGGAGGAGGAGCTTGAGAAACAGAAGGAGCAGCAAGAGGTATCTAACAGTGAAGAGACTAAGGACCCTGGTGTAAGCTGACATTCCTGTTTTGCCACCTGCCAGCTTTCTGGCCCTCAGCAAGAATCCTCATCTGCATAAGGATCCCGTGGATGGATGATCGATTTGACTGCTAGTTAGGTAGCTTGGTGACAGATTAGAGACAGACAGATTTGAAACTGAGTCATACTAACCCTTCGTTCTTGTTGCAGGTTTTTAAGGCTAATGTTGACCATAGGTCGTTTACCATTGTCACTGAATCGATGTCTCTTGCAATCTTTTATAATCCTTTTATCTGCCTCCTTTTCTTGGAGAATGTGGGGTTTTTAGCATTCTTGGAACCTACAGGGATCCCTGTGACATTCTTTTCTCTATTTGTAACTTAACAAAAAAAAAAAAATGAAAAACCTTGTCTTTGGTTTACTTATTTGGCAAACTCTCCCACTTTGTAAATAGTCCTGGTCCTGTACTTTTGAACTCTGCCCAGTTGGGCTGAGACTTCAGACAGGACAGGCGGTGAAACGTGAGTGGCTGAAAATGATTTCTAGGAGTAGATCAGTGTTCCTTTTTCTCCCTACAGTCTTCCCTCCCAACACCCTTTCGATCTTGGGTTTCCCCTTACCTCCCTTGACCCCAACAAAATGTTTTGGACTGTATTTAGGCAAGAAAGGATAGGGTTTTGTTTCGTGTTTAGCAGCGTATTGAAAAAGGCGTAAATGTCAGAGGGCGAAAATTTTCAGCTTGACTGCGCAGTCAGCCCATCATCCAGCAGTTTTACTTAATTTCATTCGCGTTTTCCCCGGCTTCCCCGCGTCCTTCTCTTTCCTCCTCTCGCCATCTGTCCTTCCCTGCCTCCATCTTCCTTTTTCTCCTCTTCCTCCCATCTTCCTTTCATTCATTTTACAGCAGACTGGAGGCCAAGACATCATAGCCATCTGCAAGCATGTCAGTACTAAGATAGGAACTTGAATTTAGCCACACTGTCACAATAAACAGAATTGACAGCAATTCCTTAACACCGTGTTCATGTTTTCCTGATCGACCCACAAATATCTTTTTACAGTTTGGGGATGTTATTTAAACTACATAGTTTGTACTGAATTGCTGTCTCTTCTAATCTATGCTAGTCTGCCGTCCCTTTGCTTCCTCTTTAGCATACTATTTATTTATGGGAAAATGGGTTTTTAATATTCTCATATCAATTGCTTTATTCTACTGATACTTAAAAAAAAAAGTCTTCTCTTTAGCTTCTTAGTTCTAGCCTAGCCCCTCCCATTCCTTCTAGTCAGAGGAATCAGATCTTCCGTCCCTTTTAGGAATCCCACGTCTCACAGTGTCTGAAGCTGTGAAAACCTTGAGGCACTGACTGGTTAATATGTGACATTTCCAAGTCTGATAATGGGTAGAGGAAGGGCCTCCATAAATGTCTTATTCTAGTGTCCATATTCGAACTCAGGTGGGGTACTCATCCAGTCTTCTTTGACATGGATTATGCCAACTTCGTTTCCCTTGTGAAGCCTATTGGACAGCCACTGAATGCCCATTTAACACAGATTTGAGGTTACACAGTGAAGGAAAAGGAGGGGTACCTCCCTTTACTCAATCTGCATGTGTCACAGATCTCTGACACATTGCCCATCCATCTGCTATCTGTTGTTCAACCCTGGGAAACAAACATGCCTGCCGGTATGCTAAGGAGGCAGCCTGTGTCCTTACCTCCTTAACCTCCTCTGGTTTCTAAGTTTCCTGTAAGCTTAGAACACAGAGATGAATCAGCATGTTTTCCAGTTTTGAAGTCTACAGTGTGTGTGGTATATTTGTTCAAATGTTTGTGTGCTTGTACATACTGGTAATGCACACACTTGTGCACATGGAAGCCAGAGATCAGTATTGAATGTCTTCCTCTATTGTTCTCCACCTTTATCTATGTTTCTGAGACAGGTCTCTCACTAAACCTATTGCTCACTAAAGCTCACCAGTTGGGCAAGAGTTGGCCATCCAGTCTAGGGATACTCTGTTCTGTACATTCCCGCTGCTAGAATTACAGGGCCACTGAAACTTGGCTGCCCTAGTCTCAATTTCTCTCTCCAGGGGTTTGAGGTGTTCAGACCCATTTCCAGAACATCCTTTGGAGAGCTTATTGTAGGGTTCAGGTTTCCTAATTACTCTAGCAAAATACCTAGCAGTATAACTTAAAGAAGGGTTTATTTGAAGATACTGTCTACCATAGCGGGGAATCATAGTCGAAGGTTGGGGTGGCAGGGCACATTCTGTCATCAGGAAGCAGAGACAGAGATGGATCCCAGTGCTCTACTTTCTACTTTTTATTCAGTCTAGGATCTTAGCCCATGGATCTTGGCTTACCTATATACACAGTAAGTCTTCTTACCTCAGTTAAAGTTCTCTAAAAATGCCCTCAGAGTTTCCTATGTGATCCTAAACCCTGTCATGTTAACAAGATTAACTTGTCATAATTAAATGCATCACTTAAATATAACACATTAACCCTGGCCCCCACAGTCACATTCTGATAAGGTAAAATGTGTTTTAGTCTGTCTCCAAATATCTATATAGTATTTAACAGTTCCAGCATTATTCAGAATATAAGTGCAGAGTTTTTTCTGAAACTCAGGCAATCTCTTTAACTGTGAGTTCCTATAAAATAATATAAGTAATGTACTTCTTATGTACACGGGCTCAAAGTAAACATTCCTATTCCAAACATGAGGAACAGGAACATAGCAGGGCAAGATTGGACTAAAGCAAGACCTGGAAGAAAACACCAAATCTCTGCGAGCCTTGGGCTCGTGCTGCAGTCATCTGGGCTTAACAACTCTGGGCAGCTCCACCTCTCCAGCTCTGTTGTCTACAGCACATGACCTCTCTCTCGTTCCAACTGTCCTCTGTGCCTTGGCTTTTCTCAGCAGATGTCCCATGATCCTAGCATCTCCTAAATTTTGGAATTTCCATTGCAATGTAGGCTTTATATTCCCAGCTTCATGCAACAACCTTCTTATGGGGAATCCGACCCCAGCACACAGCCTAGTTGGAGGATCTTTCTGGAATTGTACAAGCCTTTTTGATTCCTTTACTTTTATTTCTTTCATGCTTGCAAAGCCAGTACTACTTGGATGATTCTTTCAAGTATTGCTTGTTTGAAATGTAGCTTGATTCCTTTATACTATTGTTATAGTGGTCTCTGCATGCCTTTGAGACTGACCCAGGGGTACATGTTTCTATAGGCTGCCATTTTGAATCACTAAACTCTTATGGTGATCTTCTCAGTTTCGGTTCCCCCTTTTAAATGAATTTCACAAGTTAGGATTCTGAATGGATGTGTGGGTTCTTGCCCTCAGAGAGCTTTTCCTATTTCCCAGATGTAGAACACAGATTTATCTTTCCCAATGCTCGTGTGACAGCTGCAGAAGCTTCAGCTGCCTGCACCCTCATTGTTTCATTGCACTGGACACTCGCCTTTCCTCAACAGACCACAGTTTTCATATATTTTTGGTTTCTCTACTTACTGATCTGAATAAGTGAACACTAGTCATGCCACAGCCTGCATGCTATCCTAATTGGAATTTCTTCTGCCAAATAAATTAGTCTGCTATTTTTTAAATTCAGTCTTATGGCATGGACTGAATGCAGCCAGATTCTTTGTCAGGATGTAAACATAAAGAAATTCCATTCCTTTTCCTGAAACTCTGAAACTCCGTCAGCTAGGCTTCTACTGCTCATGTTTCTGGCATTCTTGAATTCCACACTCTCACCAGAATGGCCTATTAAACTTTAGTTATGACCATTTAGGGGGTAAGAAACACGCGGTCAAGTTTATCACAGCAGCGGCCCCTCTTGTCAGATCTAGTTAAGTTAGGTACTTCCTTATTGCTGTGACAAACTGCCCAACAGAAGCAAGCAGAGGAAGGGTTTCCTTTGGTTGACAGTTTGAGGGTACAGTCCAACAAGGAGGCAGCTGCTCACATCTGTCTGTAGTGAGGAAGTTGAGAGATGAATGCTGCTGTTCCACGTGTTAGCTCCTTTTCGTGTGAGGCCAGAGCACGTGGAATGATGCCGCCCACAGTCACGTGGATCTTCAGACTCAAGTCTAACCTCTCCGGAACACCCTCACAGACTTGCCTAGTTGATTCTAAGTCCCCCAGAATGGAAACCTACAGAGGCATTTGAACATGGGGTTCTCCCCAGCTGCTCCTTGGCAGGTTCCCCGGGGTCCTGGGCATAGGAGGAGGGGAGCATTTGCAACTCCAAGTGGCTCATAGTCCTCTCCACCTCTCAGTAGTCTCTTGCAGAAATACAGCTCACAGCTGCAGTGAAACGGGAGAACTCCTTGGCTCGGGATGGCTAGAGAATCAAGGGAAAGCACAGCCCTGGACTCACACTCTGCAGAGGACCAGATGGAGTTACTGGTCATAAAGGTGGAACAGGAAGAGGCCTCCCCCTTGGCAGAGGAGGCCAGTTGGCTGGGCAGCCCTGGGCCAGACCGCTCCCGCCAGCGCTTCCGCGCTTTCCGCTACCCAGAGGCTGCTGGACCCCGGCAGGCGCTGAGCCGGCTCCGAGAGCTCTGCAGACAGTGGCTGCGGCCAGATATGCACAGCAAAGAGCAGATTCTGGAGCTGCTGGTGCTGGAGCAGTTCCTGACCATCCTGCCAGGGGAGCTGCAGGCCTGGGTGCGCGAGCAGCACCCCGACAGCGGGGAGGAGGTGGTGGCGCTGTTGGAGTACTTGGAGAGGCAGCTGGACGAGACGCCTCCACAGGTAGAAGGAACAGGTTTAGGGTCTGAAAACTATGCCCTGTGCCTTCCAGAAACCTCGAGCAAGATCCAAGGGAGGCATTGCTTAGAGCCTGCGAAATCTAAGTCTGAACTGGGAACCTGAGGCAACAGCGAAGTGGCCTGGACCCCTCAGAATAGTTAAAAGCACAAAGGAAAGTACAAGGATTGGGGAGAACTCAGAGCTAGCGCAGCTCGGGTAGACTGTGTCGAGCTGAGTGGTGAGAGGTTAGATGTGAGCTCCTAACCGGTGTGCTGAGTAAGACCCGAGGACAGGCTTGAGCACAGTGGCAGTGGGCACAAACGACTTGATACGTGTTTTCTTGGCTTGTCACATGTGACAGCATCTTCAGTGCTGTCGTCCTTAGCCACCTTGCTTTGTTGTTCTCATTGACAGTGGAGGGAAATTCCAGTTTTCTTAGAATCTAAAAGTTTTTTTCCTGTCCAAATTCATGGACCCCTTGTTTGATCCTCTGGTAGAAAATGGCCTGGTTTTAGCTTCCATCTTCTGGACTATTATAGGAGACACTTTCCTCTCTGCATTCCCTAGTGTTTTTATTCAGGAGACACATGGCTTTCTAAACAGTGACCGAAGTCAAAGGTCTTGGAGTAACTGCCTGAGTTTTCTAACAGTGAAAAGTCACCACAGCTGCTGAGCTTCAGTCGGTGAAAGGTGTGGGGCTGCTGAGCTTGGGAGAGAGCGGAACTTGGAAACTGTAACAATGACCGGAAGCAAACCTGCCTCAGTTAGCACGCACCATGCCCTACTGGGTGGCTTCATATACTGTCAGCTTTCTGGTTTCACCCATTCTATAGACTAAACTAGAAATAGCATCCTCAGGTTTCTGGTAAGAAATTAGCATGGAGCCGGGGCGGTGGTGGCGCACGCCTTTAATCCCAGCACTCGGGAGCCAGAGGCAGGCGGATCTCTGAGTTCGAGACCAGCCTGGTCTACAAGAACTAGTTCCAGGACAGGCTCCAAAACCACAGAGAAACCCTGTCTCGAAAAAAAAAAAAAAATTAGCATGGATTGGGTTTATATCACCGTTTTCCTAAGCGAGTTCATAAATCTACATATGTAGGAAGCATTGAATGAACTGTGGAAACATTGGCCTGGTCGCCCCTCTTAGCTTTGTCATTTAGAAGAGTGATTTTGAGTAAGCTGTGCCCTCATGAAGTCGTCTGTATTAAATGAGTACATATTTGTAGAGTTTGGAGACAGTGTCAAACTGAAATTACTTTGGGGATGTCTAATAAATATGTGGAAAATGAAATAAATGAATGACTTCTAGGTTCCAGACGATGACGATGGGCAGGAAATGCTTTGCTCCAAGACAGTACTGCTGACATCAGCCCAGGGCTCAGAGAGTAGCCCGATGGAGCCCATGGAGCCTCTGCTTAAGCAGGAGTCTTTGGGATCCCTGTCCTCAGAAGTCAGAGGTTAGTGTTACTGGGCTTTATGTCATTTTCCTTCTTGTGGTGGTACATGTGATGAAATCCAGGACTTCACACATGCTAAGTGTGAAGCACACGTCAAGTGCTTTCCCAATGACACAAACTCTGGCTCTCCAAGAGCTTTTGTGTATCTTCACAGAATATCTTTGGCTCTGGTAGAAATCAGGTATTTTGGAAAAGAAAGTTTTTTATAAACATGTATTTGCAAAAATGTATTGGTTAAGCTTTTAAACCTGGGTTCCACAATTTGAAGGGACTGTGTACTAGTGGGCGTCTCACCCAGAGCTTTCTGTTGTAGTCACCCCGGGGGGCCACTGTGGAGAAGATGGAGTGGCAGCTCCCAGGCTCACTTCCGAGTTGCAGGTGAGCTAGAGTTGTTCCCCTCTTCAACATCCTTTGCTAGCGTGCCCCCTTTCCACTCCATCCCTCCCCTGGCCCCCATTCTCCACCCAGTCCTTAGTTGGAGTCTGCATTTCTATTTTCATCCCAAGGTCTTCTTACTGTTCAACTTCCCATAGCGTGCTTGAGACTTTGCCATTTGGGGGTGGAATGGTCGAGCCTGTGAACTTGCAACCCAGATATTCCCTGTTCCATTTCTTTGGTGGACTTTTATTTTTTTAGGGGTTGCTAAAAATGGAAGATGTAGCTCCAGCCCTTTCTCCCAGATGGACAGAACAAGATTCATCTCAGATGAACCTCTACAAAGAGGACATGCAGGAAGACCCTGGTAGCCTGGTTTCCCTAGGTAAGACTGGAAGATGCTAATTTCTTCTCGGGCTTCTTGCTGTCTTTTCTGTAATAGAACCTTCTTCCCCTGTCGGGCTGTTAGGAGCTATTGAGTTCATTATGTTTGAAATTATAAACACACTTTGAAAGCCTATTATTAAATAAGCCTAGCTCCTTAATGCTTATAATCTTGATTCTTTATCCTCTGTTGCAGTTAGGCTTTCTATTGCTGTCACAAAACACTATGAGTAAAAGCAACTTGGGGAAGAAAGGGTTTATTTCTGCGTACAGTTCCACATTAAAGTTCAACATCAGAGTCAGCACAAAACTCAAGCAGAAACCTTGAGGTAGAAACAGGAGCCATGGCAGGGTTCTGCTTACTGGCTTGCTTTCCCCAGCTTATTTAGCCTGTTTCATTATATACTCCAGGACCTCGTGCTCAGAGATGGCACTGCCACCTTTACAGTTCATCAAGAAAATGTCCCCACAGACTCACCTACGGATCAGTCTTATAGAGGGATTATCTCAATTAAGATTTTTCCCCAGTATACCCAGATTTGTGTCAAGTTGACGAAGACAGTAAGATGAGTGGGATAAAGTAGATCCCGTCTTTAGTGCTGTGTTGGCTCAGAGGAGATTCTGGGTAAAGACTGAGTGCTGGGCCTGTGCATCTCAGAGGTAGATCACTTGCCTACCATGTATGAGACCATGGCTTGAATAAACTGGAAAAAAAAAATTTTCCCTTTCCCTTCCTATTCCCATCCATGACTAGTGAAAAAGCTGAGGAGCCTCTCCTCAAGAGATGGGTCATGGAGTCACAGTGTGAGAATGAAGCAACATTAGATAGCAGCTGTAGGTGTGTGTGTAACACATATACATGCATACACACACACACACACACACCTAGAGGCAAGGACATAGGGTTGCCAGACTTGTCAGAAGTCACACAGCTCATTGGTGGCATGATAGTGGCTCCGATTTTGTCTCAGAGAGCTGATGCTCTATTCTGGTGTGCCCGCCACTGCAACGGCACAGGTCAGCATAACTGCCTTTGTTTTTATCGTGAACAAATGTGAACACTGCCCTACTTTCTGTTATTTCCTGTACTCAGTCTTTCTCACGTCTGTTCTAGTTTGTTTTCTCCTGCAATAATGAATACCACATGACTCACATACTATGACTCCTTGCAGGGCTCCAGGGTTTATTTCCATGACACCGTTGAGAGAAATTAGAGCAGGAACTCAAGCAGGAATCTGAGGGCAGGGACTAAAGCAGAGGCCATTGACAAAATCTGCAAACTGGCTTACTATCTTACTTTCTTGTACGATCAGAACTACCTGTCCAGGAATGCCACCCCCACAGTGTGGTGGACCCCTCCCCATGTCAGTGATCAAACAAGAAAATGCCCCGCAGACTTGTCTACAGACTTGTCTGATGGAGGTGGTTACTCAACTGAGATACCCTTTTCAGGAGTGACTCTAGTTTGTGTCAGGTTGACAGAAAGTAACCGGCACAAATTAGTTGACCCTTGTCAAGCTGACATAAAAATACACCACTATTAAAGCAACCTTTCCTTTCTTGTCCCCAAGATTTTATCCCAATATAAAGCAGTATAAGTTTTTAAAATCTCATAGTCTTTTTAAAAATATCCAGTCTCTTTAACTGTTGGTTCCTGTAAGATTAAGAACAAGTTAAAGATTCTTTACCCCAAAAGGGAAGAACTGGGGCATAAAAACCATCACACTTAAGCAAAGCCAAAGTCCAGCAGTATAGCTTTACACCTTGTAGTTCAGTATCCAAGATCTATGACTCACTAATGATTTTCTGGCCTCCAAAGCAGAGAAAGTGCAGTACTAACCTTGGATGTATGTCTGTGCCGCCTTTCTAGTATCATAACTTAGAGGTTCCTGCACCACCTCTACTCTGTATCCACAGGAGGCGTTGGTTCTCACTGGTTTCCTCTGCTCCCTCCTCTCAGTTGTACCCGTCTATTAACAGCCCCATTCCTGTCTCCAGGTCTCCCTAGCTTCTCTGTATCCTCCTTTTGTCCCATCCTAATTTCTGCATTTCAGTGCTTGACCTTGGTGTATATATATAGACCTTTGTAATTCCTTCTGTTCATGCTTGTCATTATAGTGCTCCAATGCAAAACGTAATTAGCAGTTGTTGGCATTTGTGTTTCAGATCAGGACATGCAGACTAAGATTAGGGACTTGCCTCCCGCTGAGGAGTACACAGAACAAAAGCCTGAGCAGACACTGTGCTTCTTGGGTGAAGACACTGTCCAGATTCCTGCAGGTGCAGAAGCCAGTGAGCAGGAAGGCAAGTTACAGACAACACAGAAAACTGCCACTGGAAATAGGCGGTTCTACTGCCGTGAATGTGGAAAGAGTTTTGCTCAGAGTTCAGGCTTAAGTAAACACAAAAGAATCCACACTGGATTGAAACCCTATGAATGTGAGGAGTGTGGCAAAGCCTTCATTGGAAGCTCAGCTCTCATCATTCATCAGCGGGTTCACACTGGTGAGAAGCCATACGAGTGTGAAGAATGTGGCAAGGCCTTCAGTCACAGCTCAGATCTCATCAAGCACCAGCGAACCCACACTGGGGAAAAGCCCTACGAGTGTGATGACTGTGGGAAGACCTTCACCCAGAGCTGCAGCCTCCTTGAGCATCACAGAATTCACACTGGGGAGAAGCCGTACCAGTGCAATATGTGTCCCAAAGCCTTTAGGCGTAGCTCACATCTCCTGAGACACCAGAGGACCCATACTGGGGATAAAGATTTTTTTGTTCCAGAACCTTACTGGGAAAGTCATAGTAGGGTGGAAAGCCATTGGGAAAATATTGAAACTCCTGTGTCTTATCAGTGCAATGATTGTGCAAGAAGTTTCAGTAGGATTACAAGCCTTATTGAGCACCAAAAAGTACACACTGGTGAAAAACCCTTTGAGTGCAAAACATGTGGAAAAGGCTTCACCCGACCTTCATACCTTATTCAACATCAGAGAAGACACACAGGGAAGAAACCTGTCACAGTGACCCCCGCTGTACATTCCGAAGTTGGTGTTCAACTGTCATTGAACTGAAGTCATTCTTGAGCCCTTATGACTGCAGAAGTCATAGCCTGGGCTCTATCTAATAATGCACATTCTTAGATATTAGGGATCTGGCTGAGACTCATTATCTTCTACATGCTAGAAGGTAACTAGAGGAAAACAAAAAACTTATTTCATAGGAGGTTATGAGAAAGAGTTGTCTGTAAGAGTTCTCACCCATTGGAATCAAATGGGCTTCCTGACTGGCAAACTGCCTTCCCTTGGCCTGCATCTCAGGTCTCCTGAGGGACACTTATGCTTTGGGGGGGTTACTCTGACCCTTTGTTAGGCTAAGGAGCTCTTCATAAGTGGTCAGACTTTGAAATCATATGTCCTGCTTTGTGCCTTGTATACAGGTGCTAACTCATAGAGACGTATTAAATATACTGGCGAGGTTTCCTGCATAGCTCTGAAAACCCATTATTATCTGGAAAATTTCACCAAGGCCATTTGTATATCTTAAAAAACAAACAACAGGATGTTTTAGATTGAGTCAGTGTAGTATTGCCTTGTTTTTATTTTTGCTTTTGTTTTTTTTTGCCAAGTTCCCTGACTTGGCAGGGGAGGGGTGAAGGTGAGGTTACTGTGCTAGAATCCTTTAATTCTTTACCTAATTTAGGAATTCTGTGAGAGTGCCTTAAGCAGCTTCTTTAGCATTAAGTCATTGTGAATGTGCCACCCATGGAATTCCAATAATATTTTTTTTCTGTTAATTTTGTTATTCTTGGGAGGAAAAAAAAAAACCCTTTCCTACTCATGTAGTGTGAAAACCAGTTCCAGAATAAAGTGATCAATGTCTAAGGATTAGCCTCTTGATTCTCACTTTGGTGGTTGTCACGGGCCTAACCAAGAGCTCCTGCCTCCTCTCCTTATGTCCTAACCACAGGCTCAATTGTACTAAAGCGGTGGGTTATGATACCAAGAGATAAAAACAAACAAAACCCCATCAGAGCTGGGGAAGGTCCATAAGTACAAGATCCTGTGGGGGATGGGGGGACACAAGAGTTCACGGGAGCCTCACTATTGGATAGACAGCACGTGTTCTCGTCATGTGCTGTTCCACAGTACTTACTACAAGGATTTCATAGATAACACTAGGTAGGCAGGGACATTGCTAGTTTGCTATGTCCTTGTATGACCAGCTTCCTAAGAACTAACATCAACTGCTTTACCTGTTTCCTATGGTAGTGCTGGGGAACTATGTGAACATGCTCTAGCTTGACTCTAAGTCTTAAGAGTATTTCAGTAGCCAGGCTTAATCCCAGCACTTGGGAGGTGGGGGTAGAGGCAGGCGGATTTCTGAGTTCAAGGGTAGCCTGATCTACAAAGCAAGTTCTAGGAAAGTCAGGGCTATACAGAGAAACCCTGTCTCAAAAAACAAAATAGCAAGAAGAAGTATTTCAGTAGGGCACTTGTTCTTGCAGAGGATCTAGGCTCAATACTCAGTACCCACACGATGTACTGAAACTATCCATAATCCAGTTCCAGGAAATCCAACACCCTCTTCTGACCACTGAGGGCACTGAGCACACTTGGTGCGCAGACATACATATGAGCAAAACACTCATAAATATATCTAAACATCTTTTTATAGAAAGTTTCAGGAACCTGATAATTGATGTTCTACTTTTCTCGAAGATCATTTGCCTACAACATATGGATAATAAACTGCACATGGATAGTAAACTGCACAAAACCTACCCCTGCTAAGTCCATACTTGAGCAAGCCAGTGAATTCACACTAACTGTTTGAAATAGGGATTGCTTCTTTTGGGGTCCAGAGCACCAGTGTGAATGTGCAACAGTCTTTGCTCTCTTATGTGTTGACTCCAAATCACCCATACCAATGCTGCTTAACTGCACAGGCGAGTACGTGAGCTTTATGTTCCCCTCAGCACTCGCCTTGGACACTGCAGAGCAGCATCTGGTTGGTTGGTTGATTTGTTCATTTTGTTTTTAATCATGGTGAAAACTTCACGCTTATCAATTGAAGTCAGCACTGTGAAAGTATTTATTACATATATTTCCAATGGAGTTGCTTCTACAAAGGTCTTAGAATAACTGCTTTCTTGCAAACTTTTGTTAGTCTATCACAGTGGTTTTCAGCCTTCCTAATGCTGCGACCCTTTAATACAGTTACTCATGTTGTGATCCCAACCATAAAATTTCTGTGTTGCTACTTAATAGCCATAATTTTGCTACTGTTATGAATTGTAAATATCTGATATGCAGGATATCTGATATGCAATCCCCCAAGGGGGTAATGCCCTACAGATTGAGACTCGCTGGTCTGTCACTTAGGAGAAATACTCCCATTACTGTATCTCCTCATATTTCTCCATTGGTTTCTAGCATCAGCAGTTTTCCATACTTATAGGAGTAATGTGGAGATTCTGAAGTTTGGAGATAGCGAACTTTTCTAGTTTGATTTCACAATGATTTTGCTTATATGTTATATCTCTCTCACTAAATGCATTTTTTTTTTTAAAGCTAGGAATCTAACCCCCTCACAGACTTATCTATGTCTCTGTGTTTATGAGTTTCCACGGTTTGGTACATCAAGGTTTTCAGAAACCTACAGACACCTGTTTGACAAATCCTAATGTAAGTGGTTTGCATTTCAATAATAAATAATATTTAAAAATAATAAATTTTAATGTTTAGTTTTAATTAATAAGTTAACATTTAACAATATTTAAGTCTAAAAATAAACAATAAATAATAAACCACATTTTTATTGTGTGAGCTTTTAAATGTAAAAATATATGGTGTGGTTTCTAAACTTTCTGAATGTGTTTTACGTACAATCCTGCAGAAAATCAACACAATGTGAGTGTGTGTTGGAGGGGGGGCATATCTTTGAGGAACTGGGTTGTGTGATTATGGACACTGCTTTCTGTAATCTGGAGTCCAACGATGTGAGTTTCAGTTCAAAAGCGGCATGGTTCCAGACTAAAAGAACAACATTCAGTTTGCATCCAAGGACTAAGGAAGCCAATGTCCTGCACAAGGTTTTGGCAGGAATGCTATCACTTTTCTAGGGAGAGTCAGCTTTTTGTTCTCTCAGGCCTTTAACTGATTGGATGAGAGCTGGGGCGGGGTAGGGGCGGGCAGTGTACTTACTGAATTACGCATTCAAACGTTAATCTCCAAAACTACCTTCACAAGCACACTCAGAATGATGTCTGGCCAAAATCTGTGGTCCAGAGGCCACGGGAAATTAACCCTCCTGATGCTGCAGTGGAGGATTAGACAGAACATTCACATTTGGCATCATGCTAGCGGTCACACTTTCCTATCCCAGACTGACTTCACTTTCTCTTTGTAGCCAAGGATGATCTTAAGCTCCAGATCCTCGTGCCTCCACTTCCTAGGTGTGGGGAGCACAGGTGTGTATATCACAGTCACACCTGACTTCTCCCACCTTTCCTCTCTGTCGTTCTTTCCATTGGTAGTGGAGCAAGGAAGGTAGTTTGTAGCCTCCCTACTCTGTTCTCGATCAGAAGAGGAGCACTCTGAGGTTGAGACAAGGTAAATGAATGTTCCACAGCATCCACAAGACACAGGTTCTAGAAGAGTGCCTGTCTAATTCACAAAATTGACGGCTTCTACATTTTTGATATAAAATGCACAGGTGCTTACTGCTTAAGACCAAAGTGTTTCGATCCTGTTTTCAGAAATGAAGATTCTCTATTCCCAAATTGTATCTTTAAAACCTCCATGGCCTGACTATGTTGGGAAAGGTTAGAAGGAGTCAAAGATGGGCGCAAGTATGAGAACTAAGTCCTCTTCCCTCTGGTCCACCCAACAGGGAACTGACTGCATGTATTATAGCTGCCTGGCAACTAGCATTGCCTGCATGTGCCACACAGATTAAGACTTCACACAGATGACCTAAACTCTGGACCCTACCCTGATCATAAGTGGATATTCTGAGCAACAAAACCACTTTCCACTGGGCTCACTGCCTACCTGGAGGCTTTCATGAGATGGATGCTTTGCTCTATGGAGGACTGGGGCTAGCTACATCATTTAAGGTATAATCCCACACTTATGAAAACTTCTTATCTGTGGCACGACGGGCTTCTCAGCTATAGAACGGCACGCATTCATATACTCTTTTGGTGCCACGCTGCATGTGATGGTTGGTCTTGGATGCTGACTGTACTTAGAGAGGCCGCTGACACCAAGGCTGTCTTCATCCTTGTCATCACTGCCACAGCCGTCACCCGCCTCCTCCTGAGGAATGAGTACATAACACACACAAAATAAAAATGAAAATAGGAAGACGCCTGGACCTTTGAAAGGCATCTCTGTGTGTGTCTGAGGGTGTTTCCAGATCTGAGTAACTAGATTACTTTTGTTGCTGTGATAAAATACCATGACCAAAGGCAACTTAAGGAAGAATTTTTTTTAATCGAAAAGTGTTTTTTTTTCATACAATGTATTCTGATTATGTTCCCCTCCCCTTCCAGCTCCTTCTTACCTCCTCTCCCATCCAGACCACACTTAGTCTCCTTAAAAAAACAAGCATCTAGAAGAATCAGAAATCTTTAATAAATAAATAAAAATTAAAAAAAAAAAAACAAGCATCTAGCCAGTGGTGGTGGTGTACAAATTTAGTCCCAGCATTCTGGAGGCAGATCTCCATGAGTTCAAGGCCAGCCTGTAGACAGAAGTTTCTGTCCTGCCCAGCCCTGCAGCTGTTCAGTCCCAAAGAAACACACAGAGGCTTGTATTAATTATAAACTGTTTGGCCTATCAGCTCAGACTTACTATTAACTAGTTTTTATAACTTAACTCATAATTCTTTTCTCAGTAAGGCATTCTCATCTTGCTTCCTCTGCATTTTGGTTGACAACTCTGTCTCTGCCTTTCCTCTTCCCAGAATTCTCCTAGTCTGGTTGTCCCACCAATACTTCCTGCCTGGCTATTGGCCAACCAGTGTTTTATTAAACCAATACAAGTGACAAATCTTTACAGTGTACAAGAGCATTATCCCACAGCACCAGCCTGGTTTACAGAGCGAGTTCCAGGACAGCCAGGACTATACAGAGAAATCCTGTCTTGAAAAATAAAACAAAAACAAGCATCTAAGGAATAATAATAAAATAAGATAAATAAAAAAACAAATTGGAATATAACCAAACAAGATAAAGAGCGAAAGAAAAAGCATAAGAAACATATAGAGATGCAGAAGACACACATGTTCACACACTCAGGAATCCCATAAAAACTCAAAATTGGAAGCACATGATANGAGAGAGAGAGAGAGAGAGAGAGAGAGAGAGAGAGAGAGACCAACAAGGTAAAAAAGACAAACAAAACAAAACCAAAAAATGTCCCTGACCGTTGACTTTGTTCCATGTTGGTCATCTACTGCTGAACACAGGGCCTACCCTTAAGAGTAGAGTGAAACCCTCTTGGAGAAAACTAACTTTTTATTTGCAAATGGTTTTCAATCGGAGCTAGCTTCTGGGTTAGGGATGGAGATGTGTCCAGTTCTTTCAACTCTAGGAACCCATTTGGTGTGCAGATCTATGCAGCCCCTGTGCAGGCTGCCATAGTCTCTGAGTTCATATGTGCATAGCCCTGTTGTCTACAAGGTCTTGTTTCCTTGGTGTCTTCCATCCCCTCTGGCTCTAACTCTCTGACTCCTCTTCCAGGGGATTCCCTGAACCCCAAGGGGAGGGGGTATAGTGATATTTCATTTGTATTTTAATAAATAAAGCTTGCTTGAAGATCAGAGAGTAAAACAGTCACCCTGGTCAACCTTACAGACCAGGCAGTGGTGACACACACCTTTAATCCCAGCAGCCACACTAGTTTGGCATAGAAACCAGGTAGGTAGTACTGGTGCATGCCTTTAATCCCAGCACTAGAGAGGTATATAAGATGGGAGGAGACAGCTCTTGGTCAGTCTCATTTTGAGAATTCCTGGAGGCAGGATCACCATTTTGTACTGAGGTAGAGATGAATTAGTGGCTGGCTGTTTTGCTTTTCCGACCTTCAGGTTGAACCCCAATATCTGTCTCTGGGCTTTTATTAATTGTGCTACAATAAAAATTCACAAATATGAACTGTTTATACAATACATACAGAAACAGTATAAATCTACAAAAATGTGCAAGGATGCCTTGCCAATCATTCTGATGTACATTTGGAAGAGATATGAAAAACTAGTAAGATAAGTTTCTGGAGGGGTTGCAATATGAGAACTTTCAATTAGGGATAGAAGCTGGAAAGAGATTCAAGTAAAAGTCAGCAAGTGGTTATTCCCAGGGTGGAGACACTTGTTACTCCATGATTTGTGGCCTTTAGAATTAGCAGAGCACCTTCTGACCTCTAAGAGGAAAAACTAAGGCAAATGAAAACATTTTTTTCAGTGCCAGAAAACAAGTCCAAGATTAAGCAAGCCGCTCCACAACTGCTGCTTCCCAGGCCCATTTTATAGAATATACTTTCTATCTTCCTGCTGCGAGACAGAACCTGTTGTCCAGACTAGTCCTACACTACTGAGTTCAAAGATCCTCATGCCTCAGCCTCCTGAGTGCTGGGTGACAGTTCTGCCACCAGCTCCCTTCCCAGCCAGGGCTACAGTATAAGAGTCCTTGTTAACAACAGACGTGCTGAGTCAACGCCATTTGAGCTATCTCTCTAAATAGGATTTGTACTGAGAAGAAGATATCCCGTCTCTTGATAGGAAGGCAGAGTCTGAATTACTGTTTTAGGATGAAAGCTGATCCTTAGATAAGGGCTCACTTTTGAGGTAGACGGTTTCTGCAAATCTTCCCTGTTCTGATTACCACTGGAGCTGACGTTTATGGACACACTGGCCAAATTGCACAAGATTTACTATGGAGAGACAATGATACCAGAATACTGAGGTGTTCGGATGAGGGTCTGGGCTTTCCTACTTAGGCTAAAAGGAGCTGAAACTGTCTGTAAAAAATTATGCAGGGTCCTGAAGACCACTAAAATAAGCACCATGTGGAAGAACTTAAAGTATATGATCTGGAACACAGCTGCTTGTGTTCAAACCTGATCCGACCGTACACTACGTGACTTTGAGCAAATGGAATCCAAACTCAGCCTGTGTTTACGATTATGTCTTTCCCAACCACTTGTGCATTGTTTCACCATGAAATGTCTCAAAGTGAATTCATTATAAAACAAGAAGCCAGACAACCTGAGCGGCTACTTCTACTTGACTGTTGGATTACTGGCTGCATTTCTTCCACCTTGAACCCACTTTGTTCTTCCATCCCCCCCCCCCCCCCCCCCCCCCCCCCCCCCCCCCCCGGCTTCCTGCTGTGCATTTCCAAATCTACATTAAGACACAGAGGGAATCAGGTTCACAGCTCAGAGCAGCAATCCTAGCACTTAGAAGGCTGAGGTAGGAGGGCTATCAAAAACCTGAGACCACCCTGGGCTACATAACTACAAAAAGATGTCCTCGGGGGCCATCACACAACACTCTGCTCACTGTGTCACGAACTGGTGCACCCCACTACACACCTCCCACCTGTCATGGCCTCCATTTGACCCTTAGTCTGGGTTGCCAATCTGGCTCTACCTAGCCACATTCCACTCTATTTTGAGTCTGATCTCCTTCAAAGCTTTGGGGATTGAACCGAGGGCCTCATTCAGTGTGCAGAGGCATTTTAAATACATGATGCAGATGTCCAACCACGTCGGAGTTTCACAGGCATAATAGACAGGCTGAGAAGCCAGTCCCAATAACTAGGTTTCCATGTGTAGGAGTGTTTTGCCTGCATGTATGCAAATGCACCACCTGTGTGCCTTGTACTCCACAGAGGTCAGAAGAGGGCACCAGCTAACCTGAAACTGGAGTTATGGGTGGCTTTGAGCCACCCTGTGGGTGATCCAAATCTTCTGCAAGAGCAAGAAGTGCTCAGAACTGCTGAGGTACCTTTCCAGCCCCTAGCATCCTCTTTTCTTTTTCTTGAGGTCTCATGTAGTTCAGTCTGGCTTTGAATTTCCTAAGAAACCAAAGACAGCACAGAACTAATCCTCCTGTCTCAGCATCACAGTGCTGAGATGGACAAGCATCATTCCTAAAGTGAACTTGTACTTAGAGCTATTTCAGAGATGAAGAGAAGAGTGTTCTGTGTCGGCCGGGCGATGGTGGCGCACGCCTTTAATCCTAGCACTCAGGAGGCAGAGGCAGGCGGATCTCTGTGAGTTCAAGACCAGCCTAGTCTACAGAGCTAGTTCCAGGACAGGCTCCAAAGCCACAGAGAAACCCTGTCTCGAAAAACCAAAAAAAAAAAAAAAGAGTGTTCTGTGTCAAAGCACTGCCAACTGTTGGCTAGCATTCCTAGCACTGGAACTCTCCTACTCTGTCCCCAAGCTACTTCCAACTAATACCCATCGGTTAAGCTCTGAAAATCAGCTCTCCAGTAGGATGGCTAGTCTCATCACCGATGCTTCTGAAACACCCAAATTCTTGCTTCTGCTCACCTCTGTTTTACCCACATGTGTTTCTTCCTTCTGCCTACCAAGTCAATCCATCATACCCTTATTTTCAACAAAATCTTTCAGGAACTCTTCCCTGACCTAGTGTACAAACAATCTGTTCTTCAGAATTTACGATACTTAACATCTCCTATTTTAATTCTAAAACACACTGAGCATCAATCCACTGTCCTTTTTAACTAACTATGGCAGATTTTCACATCCCAGGCTGGGCTCTAAGAAATCTGGTGATAAGACTTCTTTCCTTCGTGGCCCCATACAATGAGCAGTACACAGTGGATGCCATCAAATATTTATGGTCTCCTTACAGTACCAAGGGCTGAAGTGTGGCTACAAAGCATTACAAATAGTCTTTGTCATTGTCCTGCACGCTGGGAGATGGCTGCCCTGCAGTCACCGCACAGAAAGAGTTCCTGCTCCTTTGTGAGCATCTGATGAGCAGGAGCTGAGCTCGGCCTGGGCAATTCCCCACGCGTGTTACCCTCAGAGGGGCCACTTCTACCATGAATTCTCTGGGCTTACTAAGGTCTGACCTCTGTCTGAAGGTCTGGCCACACTCACACTTGTGGGGCCTCTCCCCACTGTGGATTCCCTGATGTTAAATGAAGCCGGTGCTTTCCGGGAAGGCAGTCTCACACTCAGCACACTTGTGGAGCCCCCCACCGTGGATTCCCAGATGTTTCGTGAGGACTGCCCTTCGAATAAAGGCCTTCCCACGCTCCGCACATTAACAGGGTCTCTCTCCAGCATGAATTTGCTCACGTTCTGTAAGACTTGATTTCTGAGCAAAGCCTTTCCCACAGACATCACGTGTGTAGGGCTTCTCCCTGGTGCGGCTTCTCTGCCGCCGAGAAGGACCCCTTTGAGCGAGGGCTTTCTCCTTGTGGTGCGTTTCCTGATGGCTAACAAGAGAGGAATTATACACAAAAGCTCGGCCACATTCGTTGCACTCATAGGGTTTTGCGCCAGTGTGAACTCCTTGGTGCTGAGTGAGTGTGGACCGGCGATTGAAACTTTTGCTACACTTTAGACACTGGTAAGGTTTGTTCCTTTTGTGGCTCTTGAGATGGTGAAAGAGGCCTGCTTTCTGGCAAAAGGCCTTGCCACACTCATTGCAGTGGTAGTGCTTTTCTCCCGAATGAAGCCTCTGATGTTGGTTAAGGACTGACCACTGGCCAAAGGCCCGGCCACATTCATTACACTTGTATGGTTTCTCTCCAGTGTGCACCACCTTGTGTCGAATAAGCACAGTCTTCCACCGGAAGGTTTTCCCGCATACTTCACACCTGTAGGGCTTGTCTCCAGTGTGGACGCTCTTGTGTTCGAGGAGGCGTGAGTGCTGACTATACGTTTTCCCACAGTCCTCACATCCATACAATTTCCGTCCTGGAGAGACGTTCTGGTCTTTAACATGGTCTGAGTTCTCAGGCAAGTCTGTCCCATTTTCATTAGGCAGAGGCCGGTTGTCCTCACTAGAAGCGCTAGAAGGTTCCTCTCCAGGGTCACGGGTTTCTTGACACTGAACCGCATCCTTTGCTAACCCGCTGGAGGTATTCTGTTCAGCTTCCATTCCTTCACAAAGGTCTTGCTTTAGAGTTATATTTCCAGTCTCAACACCTGAAACTGCAAAAAGGAGCCTGCGTGTTACCCACTCTCCAGGGGCAGGAAACAGTAGCTCATGAAGCCAGCAACAGAAAATTATTCAAATGAAAGACACATAAGACTTCAGAGTTTCTACTACAAACTATAAAACTGTGTTAGGATATAAGATGATCCAAGTGAAAAAGCACTCCACAAACAAATAAGGAGATAATAACTCAACAGAAAACTAGGCCAAGGGAAACTACAGTTTCTAAAACAGGAGACACATAGCCCTTACCACAGCGAGAGAGACTTAGAGAAACTGCTCCAGAATCAGGCAAAGATGAGTTACACAGCACAGATAAACTTTTTAAAAACCTTTTATTATTTTATGTGAGTGTGCACACGCCACGGCACGTGTGTGGCGGTCAAAGGTCAACTTTTGGAAGTTAGTTCTCACCTCCTGTGGAGTCTGGGGGTAAATTCAGGGGTTCAGCTTTGCATAGCAAGGGCTTTGGAGCCACTGCATCAGCCCGAGGTGTAATTTTCAGTCACCGAGTTCATCGAGTTTGGCAGTGCACTGTACTCACAGAATGGGCACACACTGCTGCGGTGAGTTCATCCAGAGTGTCAGGAAGAGCAATGTTACATCTGCTTTTAAACCTCCGACACGGAGTACCATAGAGAGGAGTCTGAGCTATGTTATCTATTACAGAACTATTTGTTATAACAAAACACCAAAGACAAATTAGCAGCTGGCTAATCTGCTTCATGGTTTGTCTGCGTTTTAATACTAAGCAGCTGTTAAGAAATAAAAAACACAAGAGTCTACCATCGTAATGTAAAGGAGAAGAAAATGTTTAATATAAAAAGTCTCTAAAAGGGCACAGAAGAAACCAAAAACAGTGACAATTTACTTCAGCTGGGGGAGGAAACTAGATGAATTAACGGCACAAACATTTTTTCATTGAATAATTTTTATCAATCTTTCTTTTAAAACCATAAAAACCGGAGGAAGCAAGGATGAAGAAGAATCCCCATCGATTCGCCTTCTTATTTATTTATTTATTTATTTATTTATTTATTTATTTATTTATTTATTTATTATGTGTACAACATTCTGCTTCCCACACACCAGAAGAGGGTGCCAGATCTCATTACAGATGGTTGTGAGCCATCATGTGGTTGCTGGGAATTGAACTCAGGACCTCTGGAAAAGCAGTCAGTGCTCTGAGCCATCTCTCCAGCCCCCTATTCGCTTTCTTTAACATTTCTGGCACGTTCTCCTTACTGCTCCTTCACTCACAGATAAATACCTCTTTCTCTCAGACTACTTGATAGCTGCAGGAGCATGGAGCAAAACTCAGTTACTAAAAGGACTGAGGATACAGTCCAAGTGGAAAACAAAAATGCTGTTTAATAGGTCGAAGTCTACAAATAGCAAAGGTCAGAATAAAGGATTACAACTATCAGAAGAATGCAATTAAGTAAAGCTAAATAAAATAAAGCCAAAATTTAGAAAAGTACAAATTTTAAGAAGAAAGGGGGCTGTGGATGTGCCCTTGAGAGCCGCAGTGCCTGTTGGGCATGCATGAGGTCCTGGGTTTAAAGGAAGATGGGGGATGGGAAGGAAAAGGAAAGTGACCAGACGTGACATCTGGAAGTCTACACACGAGCACCAGATTTCCGGACAGGCCCTCCTGACTTTACTGAGAAGAATGGCGGGAAGTACAAACAAGCCCTCAGGCCCCATCTTAGCTCTGCTTTCCCTTCTGCGCCTTTCTCCTTTACCTTGCTCCTCTGGGGCTTCCCATTCTGCAGGTTCACACTTCAGCCTGGCTTTCACAAGCTGATGGGATGCACTGGGTTCTGGCTCTGCTCCTAAAGTCTTCGTCTCCTGCAAAAACACTTTCTGTTCTTCAGTTTGCACTGAGGCCTGGGAGAGAAGAGAGATGTACTCTAATAACAGCAAACAAGAGTACAGTGTTCATAGCGTTGGCACCTGGCCTGCTCAAGCCTGAAAAGACTTTTCCACAACCAGCAGCCTGCCTCAATCCCCCTCATTTTTTTAAGATCATTTTAAAATGTCACCCTCTCCAGGGAACCTTCCTTTCGCCACTACAGCTACATTTTGTTAATTTTCTACATTTTGTTAATTGTCTAATGCTCAAGAAATAGAGCTGGGAAAGAGGTGAAAAGAGATAAACAGAAGGCAGAGAGGAGGAAAGAATTTAGGTGGAAGCAGCTGGAGAAAAGGCTCGGTAGTTGAGAACATTTGCTGCTCTTCAGAGGATCGGGATTTGGGGGTCCCGGTATCCACATCACGTGACTTCCAACTGTCTGTCCTTCTAATTAATCGGTACAACTTCCCAAAATGATTCCCACCTACCATCACTGTAGAATACACTGAGTGCTTATTTCAGACATTTTTGTACTTACAAATCAGAGTGCTTATTTTAAAATTTAGTTTATATTTCTTTTCTGCTCAAGCTAGGAAGTGACTTTCCATCTACCAAAATCTAAATTCTTTATAATGGTCTGCAAGGCTCTACAGGATAGAATTTGTTAATTCTTTCATCTTCTCCAATAATTCACCTCCACTCTAGCATACTAGCAACACCTAAGGCCTATGCAATGGGCATTCCTCTGCTGACCGCTCTGTGGCCTGTCTATTGAATGGTACAGCCCTCAATTCCTTCATTATTCTTTTCCTCTATTGTTTCCACTTCAAAAAAAGGTGCGAGTAGAAGTAGCTCAGAGAGCTCTGCTCTCTCAAGGTTATTATCAACAGGTGTGGCTAATAGCCAGCTCTTGTACTTCAGGAATAGAGAAGAAAATGTCTACCTCAAACAAAAGTCTAAGGATAGGACTAAGGGTCCAGTTCCCTTGAGATAACTTTGGATTCCACCCAGGGAGTGGTTTGCCTACAGAATGTTTTGGTCTAGGGTGTGAGTGTGACTTGTTTTGTTCTAGCAACAGAATGTTTAACTATGATTGTAGCCCGCAACCTTCAATCGGCCTGTTCATTTCCTTGCATCGCGTTAATGTAGTTTTTTGTCTTCCTCCTACCTTTTGGGGCCAGGAGTATTTAAAGCACTGGTAATTAAATGCAGGTGAATTTCAGAACTCAGTGGAACTCCCTCCCGATACTATCCTATATGTTTCTCCGTTTTATTATTTTCATTCGTGTCTTCATATTCTTTCCTTTATTTCTAAATAAATAACACCTCTACCCTGGCAAGAGGTATTTTTGTCTAGGTTGGTCCCTGACAGGTCTGTCACTGGCCTGAAATGCAAGTAGGATAGGCTGACTGGTCAATGAGCCCTAGGGAAGGAACTGCCTTTCTCTGCCTTCTAGCACTGGACTGAAGACGTGGGCCACCATGCCCAGCAGTTTCTATGTAGATTCTGGGGATCATATGCCTACCTTTGTGCTTACTAGGCAAACACTATACTGACTGACCTGGGCCTATAGGCATGAGCCACAATGTCTGGCCCTCAAGCTTTCTTTATAGATCCTAACTGTAATCATTTCCACTCGATTCTTACCCAACTCACACTTGTACTTTGTAGCTCTGATTTCATGACCCTGTTTCAAACTTTTTGCCACAAGCTCCTTTTCTCTCTTCGATCTCTTTTATATCCGAATGCCAGGTCACATTTCATTTATTTCACAAGATTATGCTCTTCATACTGAGATTTCTTAAGTTCAGCTATTCTGACACACTCTCAATAAGGTCATTATTGATGTGTGAGGCTGGTGTGTATGCTTTAAATTGTGTAGAATCATATCTGCCCTCCAAGGTTACTAAGAAATTGCCACATGTCCTCTTTGGCCAGAAATTACCACTGGTTGAAAACCAGTCTTGTCATAGTTGAGACAAAAATAAGAAAGGCAATATGCCTCTTTTACATAATTTTTATAGCTCACTCAGACGGTGGAGAAAAGATACAGAGCCTTTGTACTAGAAGAAAATTTAAGCCAAGACATTGATGGTCAAAGTCATGAACTCTGTGTCTCAACTTTTCTACACAAACTTCACCTTTCCCATAGAGATGGGCTTTCTATACTGCAAACGTGTCCTGCCCGCGTGCCCCCCCTCTAACTTTCCACGCTCTTCCCATACGTCATTCATTCAGGATAGCGATTTTGATTTTTTTTCCCCATCTTTTAACTGTTTAATGCAGAATCAGGACAGTGGCTATATATTACTTTTCCTGGGGGGGGGGTGTGAGCCAGCTTCCTTTCGCTCCAGATAGGACACTGATAACAGACCAAATAAAGATCCCATCTAAGTCTCACTTGGCCAATCAATGAGTTCCTTGAGCTTGCTTACAGTCCAGGGAAGGGGTTTCTTACTGAGACCAGGGTGACAAGTCCCACCCTAGCCCTGGTGAGGAGTTCATCCCATTGACAGCACTGGAGTCCTGCTGTCCACCAACAGCTTGGTGGGTGTGGAGAGAGATAGATTAACGGCTGGTATCCCTCCCAGTGTTTCTGCTAGGGAATATTAACAGCCCCATCACCATGTACACAGCTACCACAGTTCTGGGGATGAAGCACAGGACCTTGTGCATACCAAGCATGTCCTCTAACACTGAGTTACCCCCACCCCCAGTCTTCATATTTTTGAGACAGGGTCTTGCTATGTAGCCCAAATTGGTCTCGAACTCTCAATCCACCTGCTTCCATCCCCTTCTGGGTGATAGTTGACAAAAGCATGTGCTCCTGCCCAGCTCAAACCCTTATTTCTTAGTTACTTGTTTTACATTACATAACACCCTTTACAAAAGGCTGCTCTCCACCTTAGTCCCACCATCTCTCTAATGCCCCCTCCTTCTATCACCTTCTGGTAGCTTCTCTCTGTAGTATAAATCTTGTGTTTGAACCAAGAAGCATATTCATCAGATAGGATTTTGTAGCTTAGCAAGAAGTGTACACTCCCTCTGATGAAAAGGTCTAAATAAGCTAAGACCAGACAGGAGTGGTGGTGCACACCTGTAAGGAGGAGAGACGTGAAGAGTACAAGCTCAAGGTTTGTAATATGCAAATTCAACCCCAATTCCCATGAAACTACAGTCCCTTTTGGATCCATCTGAGTGTCAGTGTGCTTTGTGAAATCATGGTATATAATTCACTATGGCCTACAAATCCACAATTAATTTTAGGAAACAGAAACCACATTTTTTTTGTTCCTACCCGGTATCCTAGTTCATCAAGCTCTCTCTCTAAATCCTCCAGCACAGTCACCACCTCCTCCGCACTCTCGGGGTTCTGCTCCTGCACCCAGGCCTGCAGCTCCTCCGGCAGGATGGTCAGGAACTGCTCCAGCACCAGCAGCTCCAGGATCTGCTCCTTGGTGTGAGTATCAGGTCTCAGCCACTGACGGCAAAGTTCCCGGAGTCGGTCCAAAGCCTCGCGGGGTCCAGATGTTTCCTGGTAGCTAAACTGTCTGAAGAACTTTCGGAAGACTTCTCTGTTATAAGTGTTCTTTTGCAGGCTCCAGTCCTGTCTGGCGGTATACTTACACTCTTCCTCCATCTTTATTTCCAAACCTCCATCCTGGTTCTTACAGATCTCGGTATCACCAGTAGAAGCCATTATAGCTATACAAAAGATTTACCAGGATTTCAATAACTCCCTTGTAAAGGACCTAAGGAACAAGCCATCATTATTAACACAAACTCCCATAAGCAAATACTGCATATTTTAAGAGTTTTAAGTGTGATAGTTGAAAGCCTGCCCTCCAGTTAATTTACTGTATTCAGCGGAAGCGGAAGTACATGTGCTTTCACAAAAATAGACAAAAGTGAAAAAGATGCCAAGCTGTTTCAGGACTTCGGGGAGTAAGGCTTAACAAGAAACTTATCTCTGGCCGGGTGGTGGTCACCTTTAATCCCAGCACTCGGGAGGCAGAGGCAGGCGGATCTCTGGGAGTTCGAGGCCAGCCTGGTCTACAAGAGCTAGTTCCAGGACAGGCTCCAAAGCTACAGAGAAACCCTGTCTCGAAAAACCAAAAAAAAAAAAAAAAGAAAGAAAAAAAGAAAAAAAGAAAGAAAGAAAGGAAAGAAAGAAAGAAAGAAAGAAAGAAAGGAAAGAAAGAAAGAAAGAAAGAAAGAAAGAAAGAAAGAAAGAAAGAAAGAAAGAAAGAAAGAAAGAAACTTATCTCTGTAGGACCCAGGGCAGCTTGGTACACACCGACCAAGACTGGCCCTGTCGACCAACAGGAGGGTAGGCTTGAGCCTCAGTTTACCTGGTTCCAAGAAAGACTACAAATTGAGAGACTACCAATGCTCCACCCAGACCCAGACAATCCTAAGGAAATACCTAATGTTCCAACAACCACTGCAGATAGGATCACCTGCCAGCACACATCCACCGCTTTTCACCAGTACACCCACCCCTAGACAAATGTCAGCCCAAACAGGGGTCCTGAATTTTAAAAAATCCCTCTGCTATTATATAAAAACTGCACCCTAACTGTGCTCAGGGCTCTCCGATTGCGCCAATACGTTTTGCACACGGAGAGTCCGAGTCCGCGAACTTGGGTAAGAATAAAGGGTCTTTGTTTTTACATACGGGACTCGGTCTCTTTGTTGGTGTCTGGGGGACTCCGCGGATCTGGGTATAACAATCTCCACTTACTACTAAAGTAAAACACAACGATCTGAAATAGGACTTTTAGAATAAGTAGACAGCGTTGGGGAAGGGCAAGTGCTGCCTACCATCAGCGAGGTTCAATACCAGTACCACAAAAATATCTGAACGAGTGGAGAGCAGACAATTAGGGTACCCACGACTCGCTGCTTTTGAAACTGTTCAGTATACCTGATGCCTAGTGGGATAAAATCATATACACAGAATAGTCACAAATTGGCTTTTGCTGGGATGGATGTGATCATTTATAAAGGTTAAAGGTTGGAGGGTACCCTGCCTTCCTTCTGTCCCTCCAGTTCTGTGATTGTAAATCTAAGTTCCGCTGCGTTCCTGGGTCCCAACCGGTTCTGCGCCCCAGACGTACGCACAGGGCGGCCACACCGTGCCAGGAAGGCCTTCCCCCACACCTCGTCATCCAACCCGAGCCCTCCCACCCGCCGGGAGCTCGCTCACCTAGGAGCTCCTGAGTAAAGACGGGGAACCCAGACCGCGCTGGAACCGGAAGCCCTCGAAGACTGCCAGGGAGGACGGAACGCCGGAGCAGACGCGATGGCGCGCGCACGCCCAGAGCCACTCTACCGAGTCCTGCTGTTCTACTCTGTGGTTTGTCCCCCGCGCCTGCGCGGGAAGGCTGGGCTTGTCTACCCAATAGGGAAGTAGAGAACGCGGGTTTGTCTCTGTATCTCTGAGATTAATGATGCTTCAATGAGTTGTTTTCCCCGACCCGTCCCGACGCAGCTATGTTTCCCCGCGTGAATGGGCTCCTCAAATCCAGTCTATGGGGTTTTGATCACCTTTTCAATGATTCATCATTAAAAAAATGGTTTTTTAATATACTGGTAATATGATCATAAATTTGAAAAGCCACGATAGTCAATTGGAAAAATATATTAAAAGGATAACTTAGTAAGTTAGGGAGTAAACAACACTAAAATCAGCTTTCATATATATGATGGTGAATGAAAAGGCCACAGCTACACAAACAGCAATAAAAAAAATACTCAAGGCCAAGAAATGTACCACATTTGCTTGGAAGAAACTTTAAAACACACTTTAAAAGGCCAAATATGAACTGAAATAGCAATATGCTTTTCTTGGATAGAAAAACTCAACAAAGTAGTCAACACTGATTAAATATAATATCCTAAAAAACAAATATTTTTCTAGAATTAAAGACTACTTTAAAATTAAAATAGAGAATGAAGTACAGACCTAAACAGAGAACTCTCAACAGAGGAATCTAAAATGGCTGAAAGACACTTAAGGAAATGTTCAACATCCTTAGTCATTAGAGAAATGCAAATCAAAACAGCTCTGAGATTCCATCTTACATCTGTAAGAATGGCCAAGATCAAAAACACTGATGACAACTTATGCTGGAGAAATTGTGGGGAAAAGGGAACACTTCTGCATTGCTGGTGGGAGTACAAGCTGGTACAGCCCCTTTGGACGTCAGTGTGGTGTTTTCTCAGAAAATTAGGAAACAACCTTCCTCAAGACCCAGTAATACCACTTTTGGGTATATATCTAAAGGATGCTCAATTGTGCCACAAGGACATGTGCTCAACTATGTTCATAGCAGCATTGTTTGAACCTGGAAACAACCTAAATGCCCCTAGACAGAAGGATGGATAAGGAAAATGTGATACATTTACATAATAAAGTACTACACAGCAGAAAAAAAAGACATCTTGAATTTTGCAGGAAAATGGATAGAAAACATAATTTTGAGTGAGATAACCCAGATACAGAAAGTCAAGTATCACATGTACTCACTCATACGTGGTTTTTATTTTTTTTAATATTTTATTTATTTATTATGTATACAATATTCTATCTGTGTCTATGCCTGCAGGCCAGAAGAGGGCACCAGACCCCATTACAGATGGTTGTGAGCCACCATGTGGTTGCTGGGAATTGAACTCAGGACCTTTGGTAGAGGAGGTGAAGCTCTTAACCTCTGAGCCATCTCTCCAGCCCCTCATACGTGGGTTTTAAACAAAAAGAAAAAAAAAAAAAAAAAAAAAAAAAGCTCACAAATCACAATCCCAGAGAACTTAGACAACAATGAGGACACAAAGAGAGACGTACATAGATCTAATCTACACAAGAAGAAGAAAAAGACAAGATTTCCTGAGTAAATTGGGAGCATGGGGACCTTGGGGGAGGGTTAAAGGGGAGGAGAGAGGAAGGGAGGGGAGCAGAGAAAAATGTAGAGCTCAATAAAATAAAAAAATAAATAAAATAGAGTCAAGAACCCCTGAAAAAGAATAGTGGTTAATAGTCTTATGACATACTAGAATATTCTGTTATGGAGGGGGAGAAAATCTCATTTTGATCTTAGGGAGCTAGTATTAGTACATGGGGAAGGTGACCAAAAACAAACAAACAAGCAAAATGCAAACTTCCAAAAACAGTAAGAGTTTATTATGGAGCAAAATATGTGTGGAACATGGATTTAGGTTAAGGTTACATGAACAAAAGAAAGCAATAAATCAAGGCATATTAAAAAAATAACTGGTGGAAATGTGAGTTGGGTAGGTTATAGTTATCTGAAACAGTCTTAGCCTGTGGATTAGTGGAACCCGGTGACATGTTAGTACATTTATTATATTTTTTATTTATTTTTATTTTTATTGTTTTAATTATTTTATTGGTGTTTTAGCCTGTATGTATATCTGTGTGAGGTACTAGATCCTGGAGTTACAGACAGTTGTAAGCTGCCATATGGGTGCTGGGAATTTAATCTGTGTCCTCCAGAAGAGCAATCAGTGCTCTTAACCACTGAGCCATATCACCAGCCCATGTTAGTACATATTATTCAAAGGCATTTCCCTAATAAGCACAAGGACGTTAAGTCAGACATAGAAGTAGACAATGAATGGTTATAAAATGAGCTAAATGTAGCACAAGATAATTTATCTCTGTAGCTGCAACATTAAAACTCTCCATAACCATTTATGTTCTAATCATTGAATCAGTCCTGTAGATAACAGAAACATAGGCCAGCAGTCAAGGTAAGAGCAGTTTCTTGCCCAGTGATTAACTGTGCCACGATAAAAGCAAACTCCATGTGGAGGTTCTTCAATGCCCATCACCTTTTCTAAAGTAAATTGTTGTTGCCAGGAGTAATGCACCTGTCTTTGCCTTCCAGTACTAGAATAAAGGGAGTGTGCCACCATATCTGGTGTGCAAGACACTCTTAAGCACATTATCAAAAACAGCAGCTGGGAGGGGGAAGGTCTTTAGCCACCTGGAAAGACAATCTATTTGTCAGGGATCAGCCTTGATAAAAATACCTCTCACCAGGGTAGAGGCGTGGGGATTGAGAAAATATTAGTAAAGAATACGAAGACACGAATGAAAATAATAAAACAAAAAAACATATAGGATAATATCAGGAGGGAATTCCAGTGAGTATTGAAATTCACCTGTGTTTAATTTCCAACTGCTTAAAATACCCCTGATCCCAAGAGGTCGGAGTAAGACAAAAAAAAAAAAAAAACTGCATTAACAAGACACAAGGAAATGAACATACCAATTGAATGTCACGGGCTACATTCATAGTTAAACATTCTGTTTTGCTAGAACAAAACAAGTCACACTCACACCCGAGACCAAAATATTCTGTAGGCAAACCACTCCCTGGGTGGAATCCAAAATTATTTCCTTAACTGGAACTTAGTTGGCTCCTTGGACTTTTGTTTGAAGTAGGAACAATCTACTTCTCTATTCCTGAAGTAAAAGAGCTGGCGATTAGCCACAGCTGTTGACAATAGCCTTGAGAGAAAAGAACTCTGGGAGATAAATCTAAGTGGGACCTTTGTTTGAAGTAGAAGCACAGTAACCTTGAAGGAACTAGAGGTAGTTTCCAACTCTCTGACCTTTGGTCAATATGAAAATAGGCTCACATTTTTGGGCCTCCACATCTATTACCATCAGTAAATATCTGTAGGTTTGAGTTTTGTTTTGTTTTGTTCTGCTTTGCTTTACTTTAGGCATTTCTGTGAAAGCTGCCCGGATACTTTTAAAGGCTCTCATTTTAGAAAGTCTCCTCTCTTTCTCCCTCTTTTTCCTTTGAAAAGTTACACATCTCTCACACACCTTTTATCAATGGTCTAGACACACAATTATAACTTCTGTAAGGCAGTACGCACAGCCTGAGGGTCCCAATATGCCCCTCCTCGTAGAATGGACACTCGTTAGTGTGTAATCCCTGCGGATTTTGTTGCCTATCCAATCAGGGGGACAGGCAATCACTTTATCAGAGAGAGTATCATTGTCCCATAGGTCCTGTCTGACTTTAGAGGACAAGGACCACAATGATGATTGTCTTCTTGGCCCTCTTGTCCTCATTTATGCAGGCTTCCAAGTTTTGCTGGATGGCTTTACCAGTCTTGCAATTTTAATTTCTGGGTAACATACAACTTAGAAAAAGCAAACAAACAAAAACCCTAGTTTTAAATAAATTTTGGTTTTGTTGTGACTCAGTTTTCTCAAACAGTTAAAATATAACTAAATCAGCAAAAGCGTACTTAATTATCTTAATTAGACATACGTGTTTTGTTCTTGTAAGTCAGTTTCTGCAAATGTAACTGTGAATAGGTAAGTATAACTTTTGAGAATCTTAATCATCAAACACATATCATCGTTAAGCACACTGGTGATACAGTAAAAAAAAAACAAAACAAAGTCCTTAATCTCAAGGGAATTTACATTCTAATATACTAGCAGTGGCTGACATTTATAATGCTTTTAGTGTATGGGAACCAATTTAATCACCAAGACAAACATGGATGTACTATTATTACCTTCATATCCAGATGAGATAACTGAGACATAAAGAGATTGAGTCACAGGTAATGTGCAATTCAAATCCAACTAATCTATACATAAGACACATCGTCTCTTGCCCAGCATGGTATAATACAACTGTAATCACACATTTGGGAAGAAAGGGTTGCAGGATTGCAAAAGAGTGGTCACCATGGGGTACAGAATAAGATCCTGTCTCCAAAAAATAAAGAAGAATCTCAATTTGTATATTTAAGTAGAGGGAAGAAGGTGAATGGACAAGGAAAGAAGGTGACAGGAGACAAATACATGTAAAGTGTCAATAAGTGAGAATAAATTAAATGAATATAGGGAATATGCATAAAAGACAAAAAGAAAGGAAAGCTTCCAATTCTCCGTGATGTAGTCAGGGAGGTTGTGGTTTGAATAAAAATGACACCCATAGGGAGTAGCAGTATTAGGAGGTTTAGTTTAATTGGAGTAAGTATGGCCTTGTTGGGGGAAGTATATCACTGTGGGGGTGGGCTTTGAGGTCTTCTATGCTCAAGCTATTCCCAGTGTGCTACACAGTTCTTTTCCTGTTGCCTGAAGGTCAAGATGTAGAAATCTCAGCTCCTTCTTCATCTTATCTGCCTGCATGCTGCCATGCTTCTTACAATGATGATAATGGACTAAACCTCTGAAACTGTAAGCCAGGCCCCATTGAATGTTTTCCTTTATAAGAGTTGTTATGCTCATGTGTCTCTTCAAAGCAACAGAAACTCTTAACTAAGATAAAAGTTGGTACCAGGGTCTGTGGTATTTTGTGATTGGCCTGACCTGTTTTCATTTACAGGAATATGAAACACTTTGGGACTTTGAACTAGAAAAGCAGTTAAACACTTTAAGCAGGGCACAATGGGCTTTACTGGTAGGAGCATGGAGGACAGCGGTGCTGAGAGTGATTTGAACTGTGGGCCTGGCTCAAGAGGTTTTAGAAGAGAAGAA